GAAAACTTTTTAGCTCTCTGTGAGATTGCTAATAAAACCTTGCAAACACCCTCGGACACTATGTGCAAGGGATGTCAGGAAAGAACAGATATTCCAGTTTCAGGGGCTATTGTCCCTCTGTGACAACCTGAGGCTCCTACTGAGCCTGGGAAAGATTATGAGTCACATGACACTCCTTTGACTCAGTCTAAACCAACTTAATTAGTCACTTGTCAGTCACCTGCTCACTATCCAATATGCTTAGTATCACACAAATTTGTGGGAAAATACATTGACATAAATGCACGGGATTTTGTAGTCTTTATGTTACCTGTTCACTTTTGGAAGCTAGTGAATGTTGTATTAAAAGAGGCATAAATACATGCTTTGCGGCTTTTTCTGCCCTAAAATTTAGTATATTTGGTGTAGAAGGTAGAAGCTGCATAAGTAACAGTTTGCACTTAGAGGAGAAAAAAAAGGGCACACTTTTGGAGATACTTTTTTTAGTTATCATCTCATCCATTAGTGAACACCAGTAATTGAAATAAGTAAATGTGGACCCCAACCACAGACTATCCCTTCTGAAAAAAATTGCTGTCAGAAACATTGGAAAGTATAGTTTTATAATGTTTAAAAAGGAACAAGAATAATGTTGGGGGAAGTTTAGACAACAGTATTTTATCTAAACTAAGGATATCAAAACCGTCTCTTTTTCTGTTCTTCCACAGAATGACATCACTCCCTTACATGTTGCATCAAAAAGAGGAAATGCAAATATGGTGAAACTGTTGCTTGATCGAGGAGCTAAAATCGATGCCAAAACCAGGGTAAGAGTGCTACTTATATGCATGCTCATACTTATTTGCAAGAGGTAGGAATACTTTTCCTACTGCATTTGTGTTGGTTAAACATTGGCTTTATTTTTAATTCCTTGTAGTCTCTTGGAAAATGCCAACCACATTTATTCTTCTTAAAATAGGGTGGATGTCCGTCTTTATAAATCATTAATTATGTTTAACTAGTGTTTGTCTTTAATTACAGGAATAGGCTCTAAGGTCTAGAGTTTTCACTGAGTTAAATTTTCAAGAATTATATGACATGGCAAGCTGAACTATTTGATTAGTTTGAAGTTAAAACTGATAGTTTTTCTATTGAAAAATCCATCTTCTCTGTTGTTTGAGGGAATATAAAATGGTGTGGCCACAATAGGGAATTGTATGGATATTCTTCAGAAAATTAAAAATAGAACTATCATGTGACCCCGCAGTCCCACCTCTGGATATATACCCAAAATAATTGAAAGCAGGGTCTCCAAGAAATTTTTCTAGTTGTGTTCATTACATCATTGTCCACAGTGGTTAAGAGATGCCAGCAGCCCAAATGTCCATTAATAGATGAATGAATTTTAAAATGCAGTATTTATATATAATGGAATATTATTCAGCCTTAAAGATAGAAATCTTGTTACATGCTAAAACGTGGATTAATCTTGAGGACATTATGCTAAGTTAAATAAATTGGTCATAAAAGGCAAAATACTGTACGATGCCACTTAATTGAGATATCTAAACTGTCAAAATCATGGAAATGGGCCAGGGATACAGCACAGTGTTAGAGTGTATGCTTAGCATGCACGAAGCTCTAGGTTCCATCCTCAGCACCAGAGGAAGAAAAAAATCATGGAAATAGAAAATAGAAGAGTGCTTTCCAGAGGATGGGGAAGGGGGAAATAAGGACTTGTTTAATGGGTATGGAATTTCAGATTAAAAAGCAAGATTGAAAAAAAATGTTCTAGTGACCTATCAGGCAACAAAATAAATATAATTAACACTACTGAAATATACAGTTAAAAATGGCTAAGAGTGCTAGGCATGGTGGTGCACACTTGTAGTGCCAGAGATTTGGGATGGTAAGACAGGGGGATGGCAAGTTTGAGGTCAGCTTCTGCAACTTAGTGGGGAAAAAAAATAATGGGGCCGGGGATTTACTACAGTGGCAGAGCACCTATAGGTTTAGTACTCAGTAACCCCCCCAAAAAAAGTTGTGCTAAATTTTATATCAAATATGTTTTCACACAATTAAACTTTTCCCATAAATATGCATAACTTGAAGTTTATGGTATATTGTGTAGGTTTTGTTGTGGTTTGCTTGGTTTAGGGGTTTTTCTTGTGTTTGGGGGAGATTTGTTATTGTTTGCTTGTTTTGAATTACTGGGGATTGAACCCAAGGCCTCATGTATGTTATGTATGTGAAGTATGTTGTTTATTTTGTCTGAGGCACCAGGGTTATGGTAAAGAACTGAAAATCTGGTTTGAAATCAGATTATGAGCTTGGCCAGTTGAATTAGGTAGGCTATTTAAACTTTCTACTTTTAATTTCTCTATCTGAAGACGAATAAAATTAATAGCATTTTGAAAGATTGCTGCAGCAATCAAGGTCAAGTTTGTAAACTGTTCTATTATAAAGCAGGCCAGAAATAAATCCCAGTCATTACTCCTTGGTTGTCTCAGAGCTCCAATTAGTACTGAAACTCTAGCAAAGGGGTTTTCTTTTTCCACACTTCAAGTGTTTCTTACAAGATCTGAGCAAGAGCCAGTCTAATAGAAAGGTGGCCTCACCATACGCATCCACTTATTTAAGGTTTTGGGATGGTTTCCCCACCTTGTAATTGTAGCTGCTCTAATCCTGTGCTTCCCCCTTCCAAGAATCCTGATCTCCGTGTTTCTAAAACTAGCCTGGCAACCTCAGTTTGATTCCTGTAGTGCTTGGATTTACTACTTCATTTATCATTCATTGCATTTATTCATCCAACCAGTAAATGACTATAGTGTCTACTGTAGACCAGACATAGCTGGTGAAAGAGGAAGACAACACTTTTCCTGTCTTCATGAAGCTAATGGGCTAGTTTCTCTTCTGTACTCTGTCCCTAGTCCAGCCCAGCCATAGGTAGAAAGCAGGAGATCCAAACTTCTTTTTCCTGATGCCTATTGAACCTGAAAACCATGCACGTACCTTACAAGATACAAGCTTTCTGGGCTGGGGATGTGGTTCAGTGGTACAGCGTCTGCCTGTCATGCAAGAAGCCCTGGGTTCGATCCCTAGTACAATATGTGTGTGTGTGTGTGTGTGTGTGTGTGTGTGTGTATAAAATAAACAGTGCTTCCTGTTTTGTGTAGGTACTGATGAGTAAATGGGAAGTTGGGGGGAGGGGAGCTACAAGCTTTCTAGAGAGGAAGAGTGAAGAAAGGTTGGGGTTGACTCCTAAAGCATTACCTCAGTAGGAGGTAAATTGAATAGAGATCTTATTGAACTGCCTTTTACATATTTCAATAAGAAGGAATCATCAGTATATAAAGAATGCTAGAACCATTGTATAAATGGCAGGAGTCAAGGCACAGGCTATTTAAAGGGCTTGTAAGGATTAAAAGGTAGAGTTGCATTGCTTTTACCATTTGATTACTGCATGGAGGTGCATTTATAAATGGGAGGGGGATCATTCTGAAGGGAAATGAGGGAAGAAAGAGACAAGCAGAAAAGAGAAACTTAAAGAGATGCCTGTATATCCAGCTGGGATTTTAGCTGGTTTGTGGATTGGAAATTACCTTATTTTTCCCCTCTATATGCAGTCATCAATCATCAGAATAGCAAAATTACTTGTCACTTTGCATCATTGACCAAACATGTACATGCTGTATTTAATAAAGTGGGAGGGGAAAGGGTATGTACAAAGTGCATATAGGGGAGGGCCTGGGAATAAGCATAAAAATTAGGGATAAAAATATCAGCTATAGGAAATAATGTATATAGGCACAATTTTCTATGCCACTTGGTTTCTACGTGGTGCTGCCTCCCTGAAGTGCTATGTTATTTTCAGCAATGACATAGACTCCTTTTACCTTCCCATCTAGTTTTGACTTGGATTTACTTTTCTTCAGTGTTAAACAGTGACATGGGGATGCGAAGGAAAGTCTTAGGGAACCAGGGAACAGAAAAGCCTGTCATTCTTTTGGTATTGTCCTATGTGGGGTGGGCTGAGGGAAGGGTGTCAGTTGTGTGCAGACTGAATTCCTGGCAGACTCAATGGAAGAAAGCGTAGTGTCTGCCCAAAATATGTGAGCTATTCTGTGTTCTCCTCATCAGAGCTTCGCTTCTCTCTTGCTGAAATGACAAAGTACTGATTGGGAGGGAGGGAGCTAAAATGTCAGAAAGCCAAGGGGTCAGGCCAAAAAACAAGAAGTTGAATTTTCATAAATACAAGTTTTAACTACCCAATCTAGTAGTAGCTTTGGAGAAAGTAGTGTTCTCCATTCATCCAGTGCCTACCAAGTACTTCCTATTGTTGTGGCTATCTTGTTGCATTCAACAAATCTGAACTGGTGTATACCAGTCCCCATGTTTAGACACAAATATCTCTTGACTTGACCTTGGAGTCTAGTGCTGGCAATGACCTCTTCTTTAGGGCTCTGTTTCTACATGGGCTGATCACCTAATAAGGGATTCAGTTTAAAAGACAGCTCTTAAAGCATTTTTTATTCCAGGAAGTAAACTTGAATTGTATCAGGGTAATTTAGGTAGGACCTCAGCAAGATCTTACCAGCTAGAAAAGCAGAATGAGCATGAATTTTATATTACCCTAGTGCCTAATCTCTGCAGTCTTCCTGTGTGTTGCAAGGGATTAAACCCAGGGCTTCATGCCACAGTGCCCTACCACTGAGCTACATCCCAGCCCCTAATCTCCTAAATCTTAAGTGTGACTGGCAAGTGGTACAGTTGTGGCCTAAGGAAAGTTCCTTTCCTTCCCATGCAGAGAGGGAGTTGTTCCAATGATCTCACAAGCATCTCGGTGCTGGATATTGTAACTCAAAGAATAATTAGGTCTAGGGCTGCAGCTCAGTTGCTCAGCTCCTGCTTAGAATGCAAGAGGCCCTGGGTTAAATCCCCAACACTGCAAAAGTAATTGTTTCTCATGAAATTCAAGATGATTAAACATGAATCTTCCCTTACAGCTTAGTTAGGATCTGATACATCAGTGATTTCATGTCTCTATTTAGCTCAATTCTAGAAAGCTTTTCTGATTTTCCCAGTCCCATAGTGCTGACTAGTATCAACTGGCATGTTAACTAACACTCATGTTGATAGCCAACTTGAGTATGTACAGTACATCTATAACAATGGTGGGAAGCGTGCAGAGATAGAAACACATGTCAAGGCAGTCTTTAGTTGGTTCAATGTGCAGCATTTTAATTTTAAAATGAGTATAACATTTGTTTATTTTTTCAACAAGATCTTAATGGCTTTGTGTCTTAATAGGCTACAGTGCTTTCTAAGGATGGCCTGCTATTTCTCTTCAAACTCTTACTATCTTCAAAGTTAGCATGAGTGCTTGGTACATGTTGAAGGAAGATGCTTTGCAACACATGGTCTCTTGTCATTTTCATTTCTTTTGCATTAATTCCCAGCCCAGGCAGAGACTCAATATGGTGCCTATACCAGAGCCATTTTAAGAACTTAATATGATATTATATAATATATATAATATTCAGATTATGATAAGTTAAGAATATGGACTGTAACCCCTAGGGCAATCACTACCAAGAAAATAAAGCTAAAGTCAAAGGAGAAGTTAACAGATGTTATATATAATGATTCAATGATCACAATATTAAATATTCAGCCCAAAGGAAGACAAGAGAGACAAAAAAAGAGGGTGAAAAAATACAAAACAAATAGCATAGGGCATCTTCTAGTTCAGAAAGAAAATTGTCATTTTCTAAGCAGAGAGAAGACAGGAGAATTTTTCTTCCTTTTAGTTTAATTCTAAAGGTAC